TGTTGGCTTGCTGCTGCATGCGGACTTGAGCCTTTTGCATATTTGCGCGGGCTTGAGTCAGCAATTCCCTGTACTTCCGGACGGAAGAGGGAGAGCAGGCAGCGTCAATGTCGGCTGGTCGAGGGAGGAGAGGGTCTGCGAAGATCCGGCCTTTCCGTCCACCGTGGTGCAACTCGAATGGAGTCACGCCGATCGCCGGATGCACCGAAGTGTTGTAGGCGAACTCGATGTCGGGGAGGCGGTCAACCCAATCTTTCCGGTCCGGACGGATGAGCGTACGAAGCATCATTTGAGCGGTTTGATGTGCCCGCTCCGTTTGTCGGTCTGTCTGAGGATGTCGAGCCGAACTTGGTTTCATTGTTGTGTCGGACTCCTGCATGAGAGCAGTCCAAAACGCCGACATGAAACGAGTGTCGCAGTCGCTGACAATGTCTTCTGGTACACCGTGGCCACAAATCCAACCAGTGTGCAGGAGGCGTGCCAGCTCGGGAGCCGTGGAGTAGTACTTGCAAGGGAGAAAACGCGCGTACTTACTCAAACGGTCCACAATCGTGAGGATGTCGTCGTGTCCGAGCCGGTCGCGAGGAAACGGACCGGTGACGTCCATGGCAATGGAGAGACCGGGTTCCCGTGGGATAGGCATCGGGTGTAACTCGCCGTAGGGATTGCGGTTGCGGGGCTTGCTGCGTCGGCAAACTTCGCAAGAGTCGCAATACCGAGTGACATCGGTTATGAGGTCGGGCCATTCGAAATGCCCATATCGTGTCTTGAATGCGGTCTTGTAACGGTCCTCCTTGCGAATCTCGAGTTGGTGGTACCCTGACTTGAGATCCAGCTTCGAGAAAAACTAGGCGCTGCCCAATCGCTCGAGAAGATCATCGATGCGTGGGAGAGGGACGGCATTCCTGATCGTCTGCGCGTTCAGCTTGCGATAATCGATGCACAACCGCAGGTCCTTGTTCTTCTTCCGGACGAAGAGAACATGAGCACCGTATGGCGATGAGCTAGGCCGAATCCAGCCTTTCTCTAGAAGGTCGTCGAGTTGTGCGCGGAGCACACTTAACTCTTCCTCGCTCATTCGGTATATGCAACCACGCGGAGGTACGGCCCCGTCCTCGAGGATGATCTCGTGGCGGATGGGYCGATCCGGTACTACTCCGTGCGGGCCTTCGAAAACGTCGCTATAGGCGTCGAGAAGCTCGGTGATGCGTGGATCCGAAGGTGAGTCCGTCGATGAAGCGTCATGGGGCGGGAGGGTGTGGAGAAAACACACCCCCATCTCCTCGATGTCGTCTCTGATGATGGAAGCTCGCATGCTTGCGGCGGATACCATGTGGCAGCTGATCGAAGGATGAGGAAGGGGCACCGTGCATGGAACTAATACTCCGTTCCGATCAC